ATTTTTCACCTTTGGGATTAGTAGTCCTAAGTGCCTCCAGGACTGATACGAATAGGACGGGTAATAGCATGCAACAGTGGTCGAGACCAATCCGTGCTTTAATACCTTAACGGGGTGGGAAGGGTAGATATGGATATGATGATCGGTGCGCTAATACCACGTGTAGCCCCTCTTTTGAGGAGTGATTACCGGGTATTGCATTGATGTGATCCATATTATGAATAAACCTAGGACCCCCTTCCCCTTTATTTTCTTTGTCTTTAAAACATTATGACTTCTTTTCCAAATCCGCCTTTTAATAATTTCTCTTTCACACTTTGTTTACTTCCAAGCATTTGTGTATTAAAACCCCTCTTATTTGAGCCTTATCTACTTACGTGTTAATTGCACCAAATTCATAAAGAATTGTCTGGCTGGGAACCACACTAGTGGATCCTGAGGGGTTCCTAACACCTTCCCCTTGGGATAATTTCAAGCCCTTACCCTATCTTTGGTTATCAAAAAATGTAGTTGTAGTTGAACCTTGTAGGTGTCCTAATGCACCATAAATCATTAGGTGGCAACTCTTCAAAAATACAAAACCCAGTTCCCAAAAGGAACGAGTTGTCCTATACCCAAAAATGTCATAAACCCGATTCTCCTGCCGCGAAGAGGGAATAAAGGGGGCACGACAATGACCCTATCTGGCATCAAGTTATATTGGCATCAACTAGGGAGTTGAGACCTTATTTTGGCATCAACCATGGAGAGGGGACCCTATGGCGCCATCAAGTAATGTTGGCATCAACTAGGGAGTGGGGACCCTGTGTTGGAATCAACTAGGGATTGGGGGCCCTGTTTTTAAATCAATTAGGGAGTCGTGACCCTATGGTTGCATCAAGTTATGTTGGCATCAACTAGGCAGTGGAGACCTTATTTTTAAATCAACTAGGGAGTGCTGACCATATGTTGGCATCAACTAGGGATTGGGGACGTTATGGTTGCATCAACTAGGGAGTCGTGACCCTAACTTGTCATCAAGTTATGTTTGCATCAACTATGGAGTGATGGCCCTATGATGGCATCAAGTTATATTCGCATCAACTAGGGAGTTGAGACTTTATTTTGGCATCAGCCATAGAGTGGGGACCCTATGGCGCCATCAAGTAATTTTGGAATCAAGTAGGGAGTGTGGACCCTGTGTTGGAATCAACTAGGGATTGGGGACCGTATTTTTTAATCATTCAGGGAGTCGTGACCCTATGGTTGCATCAAGTTATGTTGGCATCAACTAGGGAGTGGTGACCTTATGTTGGCATCAACTAGGGAGTGGTGACAGTATGTTGGCATCAAGTTATGTTAGCATCAACTAGGGAATGGAGACCCTATGTTGGCATCAAGTTATGTTGGCGTCAACTAGGGAGTGGAGACCCTATTTTTAAATCAACTAGGGAGTGGTGACCCTATGTTGGCATCAACTAGGGATTGGGGACGTTATGGTTGCGTCAGCTAGGGAGTCGTGAACCTAACTTGGCATCAATTTATGTTGCATCAACTATGGAGTGATGACCCTATGCTGGCATCAAAGTTATGTTGGCATCAACTAGGGAGTTGAGACCTTATTTTGGCATCAAACATACAGTCGGGACCTTATGGCGCCATCAAGTTATGTTGGCATCAAGTTATGTTGGAAAAGATTCAGAGTCAATTGGGACACTTAGTCTCAATGTTGGAAGCTTAAGTTGAAACAGTTGACCGGATTTTGACTTGTATATAGACGACTCCGAAATGGAGTTTTGATGGTTTCAATAGCTTCGTGTAGTGATTTTTGGGCTTAAGTGTATGCCTGGATGAGAATTTGGAGGTCCGTAGGTTGTTTTAACTTGAATTAGTCTCAATGTTGGAAGCTTAAGTTGGCATCAACTAGGAATTGGGGACCCTATTTTTAAATCAATTAGGGAGTCGTGACCCTATGGTTGCATCAAGTTATGTTTGAATCAACTAGAGATTGGGGACCCCATTTTTAAATCTATTAGGGAGTCGTGACCCTACGGTTGCATCAAGTTATGTTGGCATCAACTAGGGTATGGTGACCTTATGTTGGAATCAAGTTATGTTGGAAAAGTTTCGGAGTCAATTAGGACACTTAGTATAAATGTCAACTAGGGATTGGGGACCCTATTTTAAATCAATTAGGGAGTCATGACCCTATGGTTGCATCAAGTTATGTTGGCTTCAACTAGGGAGTGGAGACCTTATGTTGGCATCAAGTTTTGTTGGCATCAACTTGGGAGTGGTGACAGTATGTTGGCATCAAGTTATGTTAGCATCAACAAGGGAGAGGAGACCCTATGTTGGCATCAAGTTATGTTGGCATCAACTAGGGAGTGGAGACTCTATTTTTAAATCAATTAGGGAGCCGCGACCCTATGGTTGCATCAAGTTATGTTGGCATCAACTAGGGAGTGGTGACCTTATGTTGGCATCAAGTTATGTTGGAAAAGTTTCGGAGTCAATTAGGACACTTAGTCTCAATGTTGGAAGCTTAAGTTGAAAGAGTTGACCGGAATTTGACTTGTGTGTAGACGACTCCGAAATGGAGTTTTGATGGTTTCAATAGCTTCCTGTAGTGATTTTTGGACTTAGGTGTATGCCTGGATAAGAATTTGGAGGTCCGTAGGGTGTTTTGACTTGAATTAGTCTCAATGTTGGAACCTTAAGTTGACATCAACTGGGGATTGGGGACCCTATTTTGAAATCAATTAGGGAGTCGTGACCCTATGGTTGCATCAAGTTATGTTGGAATCTACTAGGGATTGGGGACCCTATTTTCAAATCAATTAGGGAGTCGTGACCCTATGGTTGCATTAAGTTATATTGGCATCAACTAGGGAGTGGTGACCTTATGTTGGCATCAAGTTATGTTGGCATCAATTTATGATGGAAAAGTTTCGAAGTCAATTGGGACACTAAGTCTAAATGTTGGAAGCTTAAGTTGAAAGAGTTGATCGGAGTTTGACTTGTGTGTAGACGACTCTGAAATGTAGTTTTGACTAAGTATTGATGCTTTCGCACCTGCGGATAAGGGCCGTAGATTCGGCGTCCCACAAGCGGCCAGGCGAGCGCAGCTACGGACATTGATCGGAGAAAGCAAGGAGTGAGTATGCGGTTATCAGGTCGCAGACGCGAAATCGCACCTGCGGTGAAAGTCCGCAGAAGCGGAAGCGCAGAAGCACGTTGTGGACTGCAGATGTGATGGGTCCGCAGTTTCTGGGAACTCGCAGATGCTAGACTTTTTCCTCGGCTATCGCAGATGTGACTAAGTGACCGCAAAAGCGGATTCACTAGCAGATTGTATATAGTTCGAGGGTTCGTCCATTTTTCTCGCCTTTTGGGTTAGTGAGCCTGGTTTTGGGCGATTTTGGAGGGTATTTTCAGGATTTGGATCAGGTTAAGTATTTTTTACTCGGATTTGGTTATGTTTCATGATTCCATCCTTGGTTTTATCATTTAATTAGTGATTTGAATTTGAGAAATTTTGAATTATTATAAAAACTTTTCTTAAATATAAATTGAGGATTTGAGGGTCGATTTTGAGGTCGGAATTGGTTACTTTTGGTATGGTTGGACTCGTAGCTAACTGGGTGTCCGCAATTTATGAGTTTGGTTGTGTTCCGAGGTGAAGGTTCGGGGTTGACTTTTTGAGGTGTCTCTTTGATTTTCATTAATGATCGAACCTTTATCATCCGGAATCGCTTCCTATGGCTTTTATTTATGTTATTAAGTTATTTTGGCTAGACTAGAGCCGTCCGGAGTTGGATTTGTGCGGGAAGGGCTTATTTGTGGATTTATTGAGCTTCTTTGAGTTAAGTATCTTGCCTAACTTTGTGTGGGGGGAACTGCCTCTTAGGATTGTGTTTTATTGTGCTATTCGATTATGTGAAAGACGTGTACATGAGGTGACGAGTATGTACCCGGGCTTATAAGTGAAAATTGACCGGTTTGGGATCTTGGGTTACTTATAAGCATTTGATTGAATTTGTTATTAATTGTTCTATCTTTCGTTGTCAAATTTATTCTTACGTGTTTTAATTGAAGTTGTTAATACATGTTCTAGTTTCCATTGTGGAGTTTTCCCTTATATGCATTTATTAGTAGTTGTTTTAATTGAAGTTGTTAATACATATTCTAGTTTCCATTGTGGAGTTTTCCCTTATATGCATTTATTAGTAGTTGTTGTTACATGCTATTCTCTCCATTGCTGAATTATTCTTATGCATTTATCGTAGTTTCTATTTCATGCTATCACAATAATCCTCTTCTTTCTTTTCAATAAGGGATTAAGTTCCTTGAATCATTCAAATAATTTACTTCTCTTCATTTTCTATTGACACCGTACTTAAAAAAACCAACATCGTGGGTGAGTTATGCAGATTAGCAAAAGAGATCTGACATTTGACCTGACCTCTACATCAAGATTAGAAAAACGGAATCTTACGACAAAAAAGATATCTGGTATGTGTTCTATACTACACAGAGCAGTCAAAAGATCTGGGTGTTCTATACTACACAAAACAATTCTTATTAGAAAAAGAAATCAGCTTATACAGAAGTTAGCCTTATTATAATTTATTGGTAACCTTTTCTATTCACAATAAATCAGCACAGTGATTTGAAATCTTTATTTAAAGTGTATCACATGTTTAGTAGAGGTAATTCTTCACAATAAATGAATACCTAAAAGCATATATCACATGTCATGTAGGTCAATTTAAAAGCTCTAATGATCTTTTAAAGGAAAGGTCATCGATTATCACTCAAGACTTGATATATCCTTTGCCTTATGAAGAGGGTTGATCAATGGCATACAATACGAGTTCCTTTTAAAGAATTTTTTGATGGAAACAAAGATAAATTTATAAAATTCTAAGTAATTGTTGTAGCATTACAGAGGATAGAGTGGTCCTTCTTGGAAATATAGATTTCCCGTTAAACATCTGTATCTAATATAGTAGCATTGCATAGGGTGACCATTTTATAACATTTTGATGGGACAACATGTATCAGGAACGTTAATGGAAGAAACAAAAAAGATATGTACTGAAGGAATTTTACTTATAAATAGAGCTGGATGAACTCATACCAGCTCACTCACCTCTGCTTCTAAGCATTGTTTGCTTTCTCCCTCTAAAATCTCCTTTCTTTTTCATTACTTATCTCAGCCCTTTTAAGAAGAACAAGGTTCTTGATAACATCATTCAATCCCTTTTAATTTGCATGATGGAGTTAACCTTTCTGTTGGCTTTGCTAGCATGTCCAGCAGTGCTGTGTACAACAACTACTCTCGGCGGAGATGATAGTCAATACGTCAATATCACGATACTCCATAGAGCGACTACCGAAGGCGCAGGTAATTTTTACTTGGCTACATTCTTCCTGAAGTTGTAACAGAAGAATCACATGCATGCAGACTTGTTTACTAGTACTATATATTTATTTTTGTTTTTGAGCCAGCTGCAGTATGCCTAGATGGAAGTCCACCAGCATATCATTTGGATATGGGACATGGTAGCGGACTTCGCAGTTGGATTATCGTCATGGATGTTAGTAACTACTTAGTTCTTCTTATACGTTTCATATTTAACATAACTAAGTTCACCAGATCATTATTTTTGCATTATTCTGCTTTGCTTACGCTGTAAAATATTCATTTGTTTAGGGAGGCGCTTGGTGTCAAAGTATCCCAGATTGCCTTAGTCGTTCAACTACCAACTTAGGTTCTTCCAAGCACATGAAGAAGGTATCTTGGTTTGCTGGGGTACTGTATCATAATCCCCAAAATAATCCAGGTGAAGATTGCTTTGTTCTTTTCTTTTTGTATGCATAATTTTTACTCACTTCTTCTAACTGCCAAAAAAAATTGGAACTGGTAGAATTTTACAACTGGAATAGGGTGAGGGTGAAGTATTGTGATGGTTCATCTTTCACTGGTGATGTTGAACAAGTTGACCCTGTAAGTAATGGTACATGTGTTTTTTTGGCAATTAAATCATTGTTTTGGTGAATAATAATTTATATCCGGCATTCTTTTTTTTTTTTTTTTTTTTGATTGGGAATGCCAAATCTACATTAGGACAACAAGCTGTTTTTTAGAGGGGCAAGAATATTTAACGCCATCATGGAAGATTTAGGGAGCAAAGGAATGCAATATGCTGAAAATGTAAGAATATTATATTGATCGATTACTCTCTGTCCCGGCTTCATATTCATAATTACAAGCCACGTACTACCTTATTATGCATTTCCCTTTTTTATTTTTAATTGTCTAATTGGCCAAATATTTTTAAAACTGCAATTTTAGGCAATTTTGAGCGGAATTTCAGCAGGAGGGTTGGCTACAATCTTGAACTGCAACAAGTTCAAGTCCCTCTTGCCGAAAGATGTTAGAGTTAAGTGCGTCGCAGATGCAGGATTCTTCATTAACGGGTGAGGTTATCTTTCTGTCTATTAAGTGATCTAATCACTCAAGAAAATTATGTCTATTGATTTTATCAGTAACTATATCATTGGAACTCAAGCGTTTCATGATTTGTATATGCAGGCAGACTATTTCTGGTGCTTCAGATATTCAGGAAATGTATCAGAGAGTTGTTACATTACATGTGAGTTCGATACTTCGATCATCCTTTTTTTTAGTATGGTAATATAATACTTATATGCTTAACAAGTTGATTCAAGTTAGATCCTTTATTTATAATTCTTTTTTCCTCTCGTTTAAGGAATCGGCTAAGAATCTGCCTCTATCTTGTACGTCTGCAATGGAACCAAGCCTGGTAATTAAGAGTTTAAGTTTGTTGTAACAAAAACCTTTTTTTTCTTCTTGTATATAAATGTTGCTCTCTAACATTAGTTTTCTTAATGATGGTGCATTGCTTTTTTCCTCAAAATGTTGTTCCATATGTTTAGACTCCACTGTTTATAATTAATTCGCATTATGACGCTTGGCAGGTCAAGGAGACAAATGCTAATTTCTCTCAGTTTTTTTCTTTCTTTCTTTAATTTCTATAAAATATAAAAGAAACTCATTCTGATGATCCAACAATAACTCCAGATTGAAAATATTTTAGTTCCTAAATACCTTGATCGTCAACATGTCTGGGATGATTGCAAGAAACAGATAAGTAACTGCACATTTAGCCAGCGGTTAATTATTCAAGGTTAGCACTTCTCTAGTGATTAATTAATGCATACTTTCAAATCACATACTATATATTATTCAAGGTTAACACTTCTCTTTGAATATAGTTTTTGGAGTGGAGTTCTTGAAGGTTTTCGAGGGACTAACCCCTTCTTTTACGAGGGGTTATTTTACGACATCTTGCCATTCTCATGGTGCAATTCTGTCGAATAATTACTGGTTCAGTCCTACCTCTCCAAGATTAATTCATAAAGGTAATTTTTCATTTGTTTTGTCCATATAAAGTTTGAATATTTGACTTTATATTTATGAGTTATAATAACGCATTGTGTTGTAATATTAAAATACGTGTAGACAATTGGTGAAGCAGTTGCGGATTGGTTCTTGGAGAGGGCAGGGTTTCAATACATAGACCCATATCCTTGTGCTAGAGATTGCAAACTGTAAGTTGGAGAACTTCTGTAACGAATAGGCTTGCAGATATTGTACCTGCCCGTTTATTTGGTGACACGGTTGTTGAGGAGTAGCTGACGGTTGGACATCGGAGTACAGAAAGTTTTTATGTTTTACTGTTAAGTCCTATATTTTCCAATTTTCCAGTTTAGCGCAAATTAACTTTTACTAATGTATTTCAGTTTGGTCCGGTAGAGTAAGTTAGGGATTGTGTAATCCAATGCTATGAAGCTGTATTTAAGAAGAACAACTGTACTGATTTCTGTTATTTTGAGTGAAAAATCTTACCTTCCCCTCTCTCAATTCTCTTTTTCCCTTTTTCTTCTTTCTTATGGTTGGTTTAGTAAATCTGATACTTCCGAAATAAGTTGTACAGATCCTAATAAATAGAGAGAGAAATTGATATGATTCAGATACTAATGCACCTTCATGTCCGTAGAAAAAAATTCTACTGACATTTTTGGTTTTTGGATAAATTTATTATGTATTATTCTGGTCTCTTTCCGTTTTTGTGTATTTATTTCGATGAGGAATGGAAAGAGAAAAGCTAAAAGTATCTACTCCATCCGTTCATCTTTAATTATTCACTATGCTAAAAATATATTTTTAGTTTTACTTGCCTACTATAAAAAATCAAGAAAAATACAATCTTTTTTTTTTTTGTTTTACCCTTATTACTAACTACTCATCACCAAATCATTTTCCAAGACTTTTGAAAATGCTATCATTATTATGGTTAAAATTATAAAATACATATCTCATTTAATATTTCCTAAGGGACGTGAAAAATACAAAATAGACAATTAAAAATGAACAAAGAGTAGTTTCTAACGGTACTAGTTTGCCGGGACTAACTAATATATGACGTAACTGTGCAAGAACTGCATTCCTTCCCATATCGTTGCATTTGCCTCTTGTGGTTGATTTTTTTACTTAAAGTTCTTTTACTCTAATTTATAACTCTGTTTTGGAGTTTTACATTCTAAAGATGTTAATTCTAAACATTGTGTTTAGAAATCTAAGATAGTTCTACAATTTCAGTAGCGGGCTCAATGCATGAAATAACCGAAATCGGTCGGTTATTTCAGTCAGTCATTTTAAAAAACCGACCGATTTCAGTCGATAACTTTATATTTTTAATAAAATCGACCAAAATCGATCGGTTATTTTCGCGTGAAAATGCAATTAATCAGTACAATTAAAATAAAATAAAGTCTTAACCCAAAATTTACCAATGGTCTAGTGGTAGAATAGTATCCTGGCACAATACAGACCCTGGTTAGATTTCCAAACGGTGCATTTTTTAATGCATAATGAAAAATACCGACCGACATCAGTTGATTTTTTCGGCAGATATTTTCTTTTTGGGTCGTTTGTGAAATTTAGTTGACCGGCCGAAATCAGTCGAAAATTGCGACCAGCTTCGTTCACTATTTATTACCGACCAGCCTAATTCCGACGGATAAAAATCGGTCAGAAATCGGTTGGTGTTTCCAATTTTCCAACTGATTTCGGTCGTTTTTTCTGGATGGTTTTAGGTAGTTTTCTAGTATGTTTATGAATAACTTCTCAACCAATAATTTTACTTTCTCTATAAAAAAAAAGGGGAAGACCAATTTAGCTTAATATCAAGATCACACATCAAGTCATCTTGTGTTTTGAAACCAAATTATCTTCATGTTAAACACAAAATAGTAATCCTTAGAACTTTTCACGATTCAAGTACTCGTTCAAATTGAACTAATAAGATGCAGCTGTAATATTATCTTGTGCTACGGTTTACCATTTCACATATGATCAAAACAATTCATAACGAATTGGATATATAATTTACCAGCTGTTTAACCAAAAAATAGAATTCTCGGCCAAAGTTAATATTTAGAAGAAATCCGGTTACTGATAATCAAAATTTACTTCACTTGCCCTACAATTTGGAAAAATAAACCAAGGAATGAAAATAATTGATAACGAAAATATGAAATAGATTGACAATCACTCTCCAAATTATGGTTTAGAACTTTGAGAATAAATTAAAGAATTGATTGCCTAAATTTCAATAATTGTCTGATGCTCTTACAAATGAGATTTCAGTCCTTATATAGGAGCATACAATTATAACGGTTCCCTTGCTTAATTGAGGCTCACTGACGGTATAAATTGCCTTGATTTCCCGTTACCATATACAATCGTAACGGAAACATTTATAATTGAAGATTCCTCATAACTGTACTGATTCCCCTTCCTTATATTTGACAGATTCGCGTATCTTTCCTTCTTTACAGCCTTTATTCTTCTCGTTCCTGTTTCTTCTTTTACAGCTTTCAGGTCCGGCATTTTCCTTAATATAACCCCGTGGATGTTTCTCCCATGCCTTTTCCACATTATTCATCTAATTTAGGATGCCACTAGTCATTATACCGATGTTCCACATATCATGCCCTATCATCTTGCTAATCCACGTGTCATGTCTTTTTTCCACCAATACATATAGTCCCCCCATGTTCTGAATATTCTCAACTGAATATTCGGGAAGTGATAAATATTTATGGCAGGAATTCTCTGCCGCCGTTTCTTGAGTATCATTATGCCCTTCTCAGAATCGATGTGTCGCATGTCACATTCATTTAATGCCCATGTTTCAGAATGCGCGTAATTTCAGATGATGAAACTCATGTTTCTCATGATCCCCCTTTAAGTTCGATTCTCTTCAGACTTATTGATGAACCGGAGAATGCCCATTTAGAATGAAGACGTTGGTTACATACTTAATCTCCCCCCCCCCCCCCAAGTCCTATTTAGAGGTTATTCACCCATGGCTTTGAGGGTGAAGAAGGCCTCGGGCCTTTTTCTGAAGAATTACCTCTTGCTTCCCTTCCAGTTTCATCTACTGTTATCCCCCGTGTCTTTACCTGATGATACTCTAGTTTTTGCTTCCACTGCTACTTCTCTAGCAGCAATTGGGAAATGAGAAAAGTTATAATTAAGGTCCTTGAAGGCGAAAATTTATTGAGGAAGTCTAAACAAGCTGATGTGTAGCTAAAAACATTGTTAGGACCCGTAGAGAAGAAGAAGTTGGAAGGTCACAACTCCTTGACCTTAATGAATGACATTTTTCATTCTTCTATTAAAGTATATGTTTACTTACATTTACTTTTTTCCTTTTCCTCATTCATAACTCTCCTTCTTCTACCTTCTTTGTAGATTAATTTGATAGCCGTTGAGTTTATGAAAAGGGTCTCTCAAACTCACCAGCAAGTAATTGAATTGTACCGGGGCTGATAACTAGAAAGAACAATTTGAAGGTCTTCGATTGGAAAAAGGACGTTCTTGCAGAGGAGAAAGGTGTTTTGGAACAAAAAATGAGAATGGTTTCCACTGAGTTAGCGGTTGAAAAATCTTCTTCTAGTCAAGTTTAGGAGGATAATGATGGACCGGAACCTCTTTTGCTTAGCAACTTTCCAAGGCTACTGAAGAAATAAGGAGTTTGAAAGAACTCCTTAATCAAAAATAGGTTTACGCGGGTGAATTATTTCAAATGCTTACTCAAGCTCAGGCAGATCTTTGTGCCCCTACAAATAAAGATCAGTTCCTTGAAAGTTCTCTTGCTCCTTTGAAGACATCTTATGAAGCTTCAGAAGCAGAAAAAGAAGAGTTGAGAGCCGAAATTGATTAGTGGGAGAAGGATTATGAAGCCCTCGACGATAAGTCATCATTGGATGTTAGCTGGGCTTTTCGGAACACTTGCCTCGAGACCTTAACTGAAGTTAGCCGGGAAGGTTTTGACCATAACACTGAGATTTCTAAGTCCAGAGAAACAATGGAACAGACTCAGCAACGTCAAAACTTATTTACACCTGAAGATGAATGATCAAAGGGTGATGGAGATGGACTTGATCCTAGTGAAGCTGATGTGCAACCCTCTTCTCCCCAAGTCGATCCTTCTTCCCCCGTAGTTGATGCTCCCTATCTTTTGGCTTTTTCAGACTTTTTGTTGAAAGTGTTAGTTTGTTGGTTTTTGTTTGAACCTGCCTTGTGTTTTTTGGACAATTTTTTTGGAAGGTTTTGCTGCCCCTGCCTTTTTTGGGGTTATGATATAAATATCTTTATTTCTTTTGCCGCGTACTATACTTTTTGCCCTTGTAATATTTTAGCTTACCCTTGCACTAAAAATATTTTAGTGCAAGACCATGACTTTCATATATACTGATTTTTATAAAAGAGGGCCACTTTATGTTAATGACACTGATGAAGATGATGTCTCATCTCCATATTGGTCCAAGTACATAAAACATGTTAGATATGAAAAGAGAAATAATCCAAGGAAGTTTTATGTTTTGAACTGTCAAACAAATAAATTTTGTACATCATTTTCATAATTGTTCATACAACACTTTCATAACTGCTTTCACTGTAGCAAGTTTACAAATTAGGGTCTATTTTTCCGTGACTAAGTTTATGGTCTTAACCTAGAAACTCGTGGGAATATTTTTCATCCTTTTTGCTAGTTCGAACTCCTTTGAAAAAATTTCATGGTTTTATTCAAGGGGTTGATTCAGGCTAAACTATGCCCTTGGTTCCTTATCCTTCTTTGTGTAACCATCTATATGCATAGTCCCCCCAGTGTTGGAGCTTTGAAGTATGAAATCTCGAACACTGGATCAGCTCATTTCTTTTGGTCCTTTCCCTGAAAAGGAAAATACAAACGGGACTCGGAGATAGTTTCTTAGACGATAACTGCATAACCCTTTTCCCATCACAAAAGTTATAACCTAGACCAGGAATAATTCAGTATTCCTCGTGTATTTCAATTTTAATAGCATCATTTGGTAAGGGCCAGCTTTTTACCTATCATCTAAAGTGGTTAGTAAAATTCAAAAGAACAAAATTAAATCAAACTTGCCTAATACCTGGTCGTGGGTATTATCCTCGTTTAGAAGTAATACTTCTTTAAATGGATTGCATTGCAATTCGACGGTAATACCTTGTCATCCATGGTTTCCAATTCGTACGCTCCTTTTCAAGCTATGCCTCAAACCCTATATGGGCCTTCCCAATTTGGATACAATTTTCCTGCATTTGCCGCTATTGTTGACCGGACCACCTTTTTGAGGACGAAGTCCCCAATCTTGAAGTACCTCAAACTAGCTTTCTTGTTGTAATATCGCTCAATCATCTATTTTTGAGCCCCCATTCAATTAATGCTAATTTTCTCCTTTCTTCCAGCAAATCGAAATTTACCCGTAGCTCTTCCTGATTTGCCTCTTCAGTGGCATGCATGTACCTCATACTTGTTTCAATATCTC